TTTTAAAATAAAAGGTACAGTGTTATTTTAAAAGGTTTTTAGAAAATGTGTGTTATTTTCCTTAAAATTAATAAATAAATAAATAAAATAGGTCACTTACATGAATATCCATCTCTCTCAATTAAAAAAATAAATGAAGTAAAAGAAAGAAAGATAAAATTGTGAATATTTTTTTGGTAAACTAAAATTGTGAAATTAAAATAGAAAGAAAAGTTCTTAAATACTTAAAAGATGAAACTTATATTGTTGATATTAATTTATATTATTCAGCCTATAATATAATAAAACATCAAGTTTTGTTTTAATAAAAATTAGGAATAATTTAATAGCTTACAGCTCAATTGAAAGACAAATGTATCGATTATCTATATTTTTACAAATTAAAATTTAGTTTGGAAAGATTAATTTTGATTTTAGTCAAATATTCTACAAAAATTATTTATTCTTATTATAAAATTATAAGTTAAAATATAATGCAGTAAATTAGTTTTATAATTTCTCCAATGAAAATTTATTATTTAATCATATTATATAATTTATTTAATAATAACAATATAATTTGATATTTAATATGATTGTGATTGATTGACAGTTTAAAATTATATATATATATATATATATATATATATATATATATATATATATATATATATATATATATATATATATATATATATATATATATATATTTATTTTAATTCTAAAACAAAATAATTTACATTAAAAAATTATCATTAGAGATAAAGAGTAAAATATTTTAAAAAGAATTTAATATAAAATTTAATGAAATGGACTAGTAGTCAAACATTATACATAAACACGTTAAAATCGTATATACATTTTCATTATTCTCTGAAATTTACTAGTAGTCAAACATTTCATATTTTGATATATATATATATATATATATATATATATATATATATATATATATATATATATATATATATATATATATATATATATATATATATATATATATATATATATATATATATATATATATATATATATATATATATATATATATATATATATATATATATATATATATATATATATATATATATATATATATATATATATATATATATATATATATATATATATATATATATATATATATATATATATATATATATATATATATATATATATATATATATATATATATATATATATATATATATATATATAAAATTTAGATTAGAGAAAATTACACTCATCTTCTTTATTCTCTGAAATTTATTAAAATAATATCTATAATATCTATTTAATTTTTAAATATGAAGTAATTTCTTTTAAATTTATATAGTAATAGAAAATTTTATGGATAACTAGAAAACCATAGATAAATATTATTTATATTTTTTTTTTAGAATTCACTTTTTAAAGGTAAATAAATAAGATATCATGGGTTTAAAGCTACATCTTTATCATTAATGTTTCTACACAATTATAGATTAATAAAATTATATTTGTTTTTTTTAATAGACTTCAAAGAAGACAATGTAATTTCTCCTTTAAATTAATAAAATGAATAAATAGTTACACATTCTACATAATTCAGATTAATTGACTCATTATTAAAAAAAAAACTTAAAATTCTAACTCTTTACATGTAAAAAGTTATCTTAAACCCACTAACCTATTAACTCATTATATTATCACTATTATTAAAAAAAATAACTTAAAATTCTAATTTTTTACTCATTAACCCCATTAAATTTCAATATATTAATCCTATTATTCGTATAACTTCCTTCCATAACTATAGCACCAATTATTATTATTTTTACTATTTTATTATATTATAATATAAAAAAATGAATAGATTATAGTTTTGATAATCTATTTTGTCACATTTCAAAAAATGTATTCTCTTACTTTATATTTAAATAGTTTTAACCCACCATCTTCAATTTTAATCCAAACAAAAGACAACAGTGTCATGATGGTGGTGAAGAATGACGAACAATAAATGATGAACAGCAAAAAAAATTCATTCAATAAAATTCATTCAATTTATTTTGTTTTGCATTTTAAAATCGAATAAATTAACTCATTTAGATTTTAAATTTAAATGTAATAATTAATTATTATTATATGAAAAACAATAATTTAAATGATATAAATATAATTTACTTTATTTTTATTTTTAATATAATGATTTACGTTAGAGATTAAAGTAAAAAAATAATCTGATAAATAAAAACAAAATTATCTCATCCCACCATAAAAAATGTGTCACGTATTAAAAATCTTTAAGATCAATTTTGATCCAAATAGTCTCATTTAACTTTTTTTTTTCTTCTTTTCATTCAAATAAATGTTTTTACATATATTTTTAATTTTTTAATTTTTGATTTTATCGTCTTAATGCAGTATTGTGTTGGTAGTCGTCTTATTACGAAGTTATTTTGTTTTTCTGTCTTGATGCGATGTTTGTTCGGTTCAGATTGACAGATTAGTTTTGACTCGATAGATATTCAACCAATGATTTTGACGTCGTCAACGCTTCAGATTCGGAGACATGAATATTTCGAACATTTCAATTTCATCATATTAGTAGACTTTGTCACATTTGTAAGCATTTTATCGTTATATGATTATCATGGATGATGAAAATTTATTTGTAGATTCATCATTTTTAATTTATAGTGATTTTGAATTTATTTTATTCGATATATTCTATCCATTTAAATGAATGAAAATTGTTTTTAATCAAAAAAAAATTACGTTCATTTTTATTTTATTTTATCGATTTATTATTAATTTTTGTCACTTTGACAATTTATCGTATCACTGAATTTTTTTCATATATATATATATATATATATATATATATATATATATATATATATATATATATATATATATATATATATATATATATATATATATATATATATATATATATATATATATATATATATATATATTATATATATATATATATATATATATATATATATATATATATATATATTTTGTGGATTAAATGCCTAAAAATCTTGGTCGATTCCTTAATTTCTTTCTTTGTATATGTTTTTGTAATTTGATAATTAATTATAATTATAATGTTATTAATAAATTATATTATACATTGATATTAAAATTTTAAAAAAGGATAATAGTTAAGTTGCCTTATTTTTTCTCTTAAATTAAGTATAAATCCTGCTAATATTTTTATTAATTTTCATTTGTATATATTTAATAATTTTTTTATATTTATGAAAAATGAGAATGTGTCAATGAATCAAAGAATAAAGATGTAAATCAATTATAAAATTTTAAATATTTTTAAATAAATAAAGTAAAAAAATTAGTAATATAACAAACTATTGATGTATTACGATGTACTATAAGTAACATCTACTTTTTTTAATATTTTATTAAGTATTATTTTGAATTGTATTTTTAATATATACAAAATATGTGGATTTGTAATAGATAAATTTTCTTTTTTCTTACACTCTTCAAATTCAATAATTTTTATACGTTATATTTTTTATTGTGTATAACTATGTTGAAAATATATATTATTAATTTTCATAAAATAAAAACCATTAAATTATTTTTCTTTTTTTTTATATTAAAAACTCAACCAATATAAAAAATATATATATTAGTATACTTTACAAACACTTATTAATAATAACTCAATAAAATTTACCAATACATTGCGTGGGTATACCTATATATAATTATAAAATTCTTCTAAGGTTATAAAAATTAAAAAAAAAAAGTTAAAATCTCTCCTTTTTCCTCTATAAAAAACCACACTTCTCCTCAATTTGAACAAAATGTGTATGTTTCAAAAATAAAATTTCCCATTTATTTTTAATAAAATCTTATTTATTTATGATATTTAAATTTAATGATTCACAGTTTTTTTTTGGTTTTCTGTGATTGATATAAACTTTCAATAGTTATCATATAATTAATTTATTGCATAGTTGAAAAAAAATAAAATTACAATGATATTCTGTTATCTATTGATTTAATTGAATTAAGTTATGATAATAATGTGCTTAGTTACGTGTTCTACATTAATGATATAATAAAATAAGTTTATTATTCTCTCGCATATCTCAACCATCAAATAATCTTTATTATCTACTATTTTTATTATGAATAGAAATTAATTAATAATTATGAATTAAATATACAGATATAATATTGAAGTCCTTTTTGATTGGGAGATGAGCAGGAGATCCTAAATATTTAAAATTATGTCTATTTGTATGTTATATATTCAAATATAAAATATTTACCAATAAACTCTTTTTATATATAATTTAATATTTCCATAAAAAATTATAATATAATTTAAAAGTTATATTAGATTAAATAGATAGTCAAGACTAAAAAATTGTAGTAACTAAATATACTTTTTTTTTTGCCAAAAAAAATCTTTTTATGTAAAAAAAAAAAAATATTTGTAACAATATCTTAAATTAAATCAAATTATAATAAATAAACATTAAAGAAAAAATATTTAGAGAATTAATACGTAATAAGTATCCGGGTTTAATGGATATGCACAGTGGTGTTGATGTGACGGAAGACACGTTGTCACGGCATCTTTTTTCCCTTTCTTCTATATAAACTAACGTAGATTTTCAAAACCGTAAGACCAAATATCAAAACTACGAAAATACCCCCGGCCACTCGTTCAACATAAAACGAAACTGCAACTTTTTTTCAGGTGCGAAAAACAAACAAACACTGTGCCATCTATCTTAACGCTTCTCTCTCTCTCTCTCTCTCTCTCTCTAGCTATATCATCCTCGCACATTTCAGTTTCACTCTATATCAATTCTGCTTCAAGATTCATATCAAGAAATAACAGGTTTCAATTTCATATTTAATATTATAGTACTATTTTATTGCAATGTTTTATAGTATAGTGTCTATGAGTGCATGAACGTGTTTTGTGTTTTATTGTTATGATATGAAAGAATGCACGTGTTTTGTGTTTTAGGTTTTCTGTTATAATGGCTCGAGATTCCGACCGGATGGATTTGCATGCTGATGATGTTTTATTTGGTCAAGAGAATGATGTTTTTGGTTTTGAATCTTCATTGATGTCCAATGTTAATCCCGCTGTTTCTTTCTCTGAAACTCTAATTGGTGGTGTTGGAGGAATCAATAGTTCAATGGGGATGTTTTCTGGGAGTGATATGGTTGGGTTTCATATGAACTCGGGGTGTAATGTTAGTGAAAAAGAGGGTTTTTATCAAGAAAATTTTAATGGATTGGGGGATGGAGGAATGTTGGGTGTTGTTGATGGAGGGTGTGATGGGAAAGTAGGAAAGTTTTCACATGGGTTGGTGCAGAATGAAGATGAGACAATTTTGAGTCAAAGTACTGGTGGAGGTTGTGCAGAGTTTCGTAAAGATTTGGTTTTTGGATTGAACAATGGTGTTCAGATTGAACATGCGGCGAAGGTTTCAGAAGTGTCATTGGATATGGAAGATTTGTTTTCAAGAAAGTCCTTTCTGTCAGATGCACAAGTAAATGTGATTCAGAATTATATTCAATACAACTCTTGTGGTTTGGATCTTGTTGTGGATTTTAATTCTTACAAAAACACTCAGGAGGATGATAATGTGATAAAGGATTCGGTGTTTTCGGATGTTAATTACCGCATATCTGATTTAGTATGGGGAAAGGTTAGGGGGCACCCTTGGTGGCCTGGTCAGATCTATGATCCCGCAATTGCATCAGAGACGGCAAAGAGTTACTGGGAAGAGGATTGTTACCTGATAGCATATTTTGGGGGTCAAAAATTTGCTTGGAATGAAGTGTCAACGATAAAGCCATTTTATAAACAGTTCTCCGAAATGGCGAAACAGACTGATTGTGAAAGTTTCCGCTTCGCTGTTGATTGTGCTCTAGAGGAAGCCTCAAGACGGGTTGCGTTAGGCCTGTCTTGTCCTTGTTTGCCCGAAGAAGTGTCTTCTAACCTGAAGACGGAAGTAGTTGCTAATGCTGACATCTGTAATCAATCTTTTGAACCTGCAGAACTTGTCAGTTTTGTGCAATCATTAGCTCAGTCACCACTTACTGAATTTGATAGACTGGATTTGGCAAGGGCTCGTGGCCAAGTGTCGGCTTTCTATCGCTCAAAAGGCTATTCGCAGCTGCCTGAGTTTGCAGTGCATGATCGGTTGTTTGTACCTGATATGGAAACTCTACCTGTAAGAGAAGAAGAGCGGTGCAATGGTCAAGTTTTGAAAACAGGTCAATGCTTTTTGCCAGATTTGATGTCTGAGAAGAACTCACGGACTCCATATGGTGAACTTACTCTAGAAAAGAAAGCTGGTGGGAATTTCACTTCACGACGTGGCAGGAAACGGAAGACGTCTCAGGAACCTTCTTATGATTGTTTCCAGGATGATAAATCTACTTCACGACGTGGCAGGAAACGGAAGACGTTGCAGGATCCTTCTTATGATTGTTTTCAGGATTTCCAAATTGAAGATGATAAATCTACTTCACGATGTGGAAGGAAACCGAAGGCAGCATACAATACTTCTGATGATTGTTTCCAGAATTTCCAAATTACTGTTAACAATTTAACTCCACGCAAGCGTGGCAGAAAACCGAAGGCCACTTACAATACTTCTGATGATTGTTTCCAGAATTTCCAAACTGCTGTTAACAATTCAACTCCACGCAAGCGTGGTAGAAAACCGAAGTTAGCTTGCAACACTTATGACAATTGTTTCAATAATTCTCAAACCGGAAACAGCACCGAATTTGAGAATGTATCAGTACATGATATGTGGTCTCATCTATGCTTGGCTGCCAAAGATCCTGCAGGAGAAAGTTGCTACACTGATATGATACATTACTTTGCAGATTTTAGAAAAGTCACTGGCAGAAACAATTCTGTTTTCCTCGAGCAGGGATTTTCTTTAGAACAAAAGTGTGATGGTGAGACTGGAGCAATAGCCTCTATAGAAGCCGCTGTAGTAGCTTCTGTGTCGGCACCAATGGATGTTGGCTCTATAGAAGCTGCTGCAGTAACTTCTGTGTCGGCACCAATGGTTCTTAGCTCTATAGAAGCTGTTGCAGTAGCTTCTGTGTCGACACCAGTTGAACTTGGCTCTATAGAAGCTGCTGCAGTAGCTTCAGTCTCAACTGCTGCAGTAGCTTCAGTCTCAACTGCTGCAGTAGCTTCAGTCTCAACTGCTGCAGTAGCTTCAGTCTCAACTGCTGCAGTAGCTTCAGTCTCAACAACACCAATGCAGCTTTGCAGTGATTCTTCTTTGGAAGAAGAGACATTTTTAAATAAACAAGAAAGAGAGGAAGTTAGCCCTACTACCGGTTTGCACGATGGAAGTCTAATATCAGAACATTTCACTCATGTGGAACAACAAAATCTCAGATCCGAACCTATGGAACATACAAGCATTTCCGAAGAAGGGACACAGACACAGCCAGAGACACTTTTGAATAAACAAAACTTGCCACCCGAAGAAAATACGTATGGAAATCTTGCATCAGAACTTTCCAATCTCGTGGAACACGCGAGCAAAAGTTCTTCGACAAATCTTGCATCAGATCTTTCTAATCCGGTGGAACATGGGAACGAAAGTTCTCCGACAGAACCTTCAAATCCGGTGGAACATGCGAACGAAAGTTCTCTGACAGAACCTTCCAATCCAGTGGAACATGCGAACGAAAGTTCTCCGACAGAACCTTCCAATCCAGTGGAACATGCGAACGAAAGTTCTCCGACAGAACCTTCCAATCTGGTGGAACATGCGAACGAAAGTTCTCCGACAGCTTTTATTTTGAAATTCACAAACTTCGACTGGGGTCTTTCAGCAACAGATTTGAACCAGATATTTGCCCGATTTGGGCCGCTAATTGAATCAAAGACTGAACTATTAGAAAGAAATAAATGTGTCAGGGTTGTTTTCAAAAGACGCATTGATGCAGAAAGTGCTTTTTGCAGTGCAGGAAATTATAACATATTTGGAGCTTCATTGAAAAGTTATCGACTCAAGATTTTACCTCCTCCTATGCCAAAGAAAGCCACCGGAAAGAAGCGAGGCAGAAAAAGCAAAAAGGAAATAGCTTCCATAGAAGCTGCTGCAGTTTAATTTCTTGTCATTTTAATATTTGAGTTTATGTGAATATCATTGACATTATTAGTTCTAGTATTTGAATGAGTTGTTAATTTTGTTAGCATACTAATACATAGAATTGAGTTTCAGTAGTGTTATGAGATTGAAGTTATATCTGTGAATATCCAAAGTTTTGATTACTGCATTTTGCTAGTCACATTCTAAACTTACTCTAAACTTATTCTAAACTTACTCTTACTGAATTTTACATTTCAACTAATGATGCCAAAATAAAAAATACTACATGTGAAGCAACAAACCTTCAGAATATTCTTATTAAAGACCTTAATTGAATAAACAAATGTTGGTCAGACATTAACTGAGAATTTGAGTTATCGTTGGTACCAAGGGTGAGATCATGGTTGTTATAGACTTTTAAAAAAAAGTATTGTATTTTAAAAAATAATGTTCTGAATAATTTTTAAATAGTAAATTTTATTTCAAATTTATTTTATATAAATTAAAAAATTAACTTAACATTTAATAACATAAATATCAATTAGAGGGAGGGCAACCCTAGGCTATGACCCCCTCTCTCCCTTCTATTTTTTAGGACATATGTTGAAAATTTTAATATAAAAATATCTAATTTACAAAATCAAAATAAGTGTGGTTTAGTGATGAAAATTTGAGTCTTGCGAATATAGTCCTCTCAAGATCTCATATTCAAAATCTATTAGGTGCAAATTACTTATAAAAAAATTACAAAATAATAATTTAATTTTTATAAGTTAAAATATTAATTTATTAGCATAAATTTATTTTTGATAAGGTGTACTAATTTTTTTAAAGTTTTATCATCTCCGTTTTAAAACTCAATATTATGATTTTTTATTTAATTTGTTTTTTATAAACTCTAATTAATTTATTTTTCAAAAGTATTTTTAAATATAAGAGAACCAAAAGAATAAATTTTTTAAAATTAAAATCAATAGACCAGCAATTTATTTAAGTTTCTTTTTATTTTAAAAATTTTCATTTTTAAGTTCGTTAAAATATGTATTTCGTGTTAGTGTACAAAGTTGAAGATAGAGATGAAGACAAAATAATTTATTCAAGTTTATAGTATGATATTGCGTACCGTAAATTTTGAGAGTAAAACACATTAACACCCGAGAGATTTAATGAGAGTGTGAAATGAGCTGACAAGTGAAGCAGTACTTTCAAATGAAGGTGTGGTTGATCAATCAACCTTAGTAATCCAGCAAAAATCGAAGGTAGCAACAAGAGAGAGCCATGGAAGATCTCAGAGGTATCGCGGGACGTAAAAAAAACTCTTTCATTTGGGGTGAGTGTTGAAAGTTACTTGAGGGCAAGCCCAAATTCACTTTATTTTAACTCTAGAATGCAAATTTCTGAGGGTCGGATGATTTTTGACGGCAAAGACACATTTAAAAGACTGGAAAACATAGATTTTCAAGAGCTTTATGTGATTGAAGACTAATTCATCTAAATTTCTGCAATGACTATGTCTTTTACTATGTTTTTTATTTTATTTCTATGAGTAGCTAAACCCCCGATGTTGAGGGGTGCCTCTGATTTGAATTTTATTGATGATTTTCTCTTGAACCTTATAACGACTACAACTCAGATGAAAAAAAGTTAAAAATGGGATAGCGAAATAATGGATAGCAGGATATCTTTTGTTGACTTCTTAGAATTGACTATTTTTTAGATTAAATATAAAAATGATCTATACAAATAACACAATCCCCATAAAAGTTTTATAAAAATCAAATCAATAAAATAAAATCAATATATTAAAGATTTAATTATTGGTTCCAGCTTATATTATTATCATTTTTATTATTAATGTTCACTATTAGAACATTTTCTTTTAGTGACCGATTTAATGACCAAAAAATTTCAGTCACTCTAGCGACCAATTAGCCATCAAAATTTGATATTTATGAGCCAACTTTAAAAGGTCACTAAACCGGTCACTAAAATAAATTAGACACTGATTTAACGATTACAGTTTTGTGACCGCCTATTCAGTCATAAAAAAATATTTTTATATAAAACTTAATTATCAAATTAGAGGCCTAAATTTCTGTTACTAATTTTTTTTTTTGTTTTTTTTTTCTATTTTTGAATCTTCTTTATGTTATTATTTTTCTTCCAAATTTTTAAATTTTTTTTTCTAATTCTCTCTTTCAATTTTAATTTTTAATAAAAGTTTCACTTTTTTTATTGTTTTAACAATTAAAACATATATTTATATAAAAAATAATATCATTTATATTTTATATTTGTATAAATAGTGAATTTTATTTTCATTATACAATTTTTATGTGTATAATGAAATTGCATAATAAAATCAAATTTATATAGTGATTTTTTAAATTTTATTTAAATTTTTTAATTAATTTGTTATATGTATATATGTTTAAATATAGAACTTAACAAAAATTGTTAAATAGTGTAGTGGTAAGGCTTTATTAAAATATGTGGAGGTAACAAGTTCAATTTTTAGGTTCAACACGCTTTAATTTTATTTTATAAAAAAAGAACACTAAAATTGATCTCTAGATTTAGTCGCTAAATCAGTCACAAAACGCTTTAGTGACCGATTTTATAGCTTTTTCGGTCTCTAATTCGGTCACTAAAAGCAAAAATTTTAGTAGTGGTTATTATTTTTGTTAAATGTTTTATAGTTGTAGGTATGTGAGGAGGTAAGTGAACAAATTAATTGCAATTGTACGTAATTAACTTTACAGATGTACGTTAAATATTATTTTTATTAAGTGACTATTCTACTATTTTTACGGTTGTTGTAATAATGTTGATAAGATTGAACAAATTAATTACTTTTCGACTTTTCAACTATTTTTTATCAATAAAAAATGAATCAACACTTATCCTCTACCCCCTTCATCTTCTCTTTCTATTCTGCTTTCTTTTTTATATTGTACCTCTTCATCTTCTCTTTCTATTATGCTTTCTTTCTGGTATTATACCTCTTCATCTTCTCTTTCTATTCTGCTTTCTTTCTGATATTGTTCCTCTACATCTTCTCTTCCTTCTTTTATTTTCAAAATCGTAAGTTCACAGAGAAAAAGTAAAAAAATGAAAATCAATCAAATTGTTTCGCTCAGGTTTGACCTGCGACCCCAACCCACTATGGCTGAGAAAGCGGCCGTGATTTCACTGGCGCACCTGCACCCTTGTTCTCGTGCGGTGGGTGGATTCACTAGCCAGAGCGTCTGGGATACTGGCAATCGCGGCCGCGATTGACAACTCTGCTACAATTTAACATATATTTGAATTACTTTTAATTGTGCTTAATGCTTTCTCTTTCAGAAAAACTAAGAATTGGTTTATGGTTGATTCTTAGGCAACACTGTCAATGTCAATGCTTAATTAAAAGTATTTTATAGTAGATATCACCTAGGACTAGGGATACCCTATAAAAACCGAATTGTTCTTGACCAAAAATTGCTTAATTTTCATATGTAATTCTTTATGGACATAAGAGTTAATTTGAATGAGTAAAGGTTTGTTCACTAAGGACTTAGGAATAAATAACCTTAAGAACCGATACTCAATTGTGTCAGAAAAGTTGTTGCACGATTTAGTTAGAATCATTAATGAGTCCGATCACACGCCTTCTCTAGCATGTTCACTTATATTAAGTAAATTCGTTTAATAACTCTGTTTACTTTTGTTTGTAAGTTTATTTCTAAGTAGCAAAATTTCCAAACCAAACTCCCAATTGCTTTTGTTTAACTATAGTGAAATTTCAACTTTATATATGTTAGTTCCATAGTTTTAGGATTGACATGATTTTACTAAAATATGATTCTAAATTGATGTTGATCAAGATGGTGCAACATTTTTATCAACTGTCATAATAGTTTTGCTATTATGAGTTTTTTCAGCCAGATGTCAAAGCAGATGTCATGACATCTTGGTCTGGTACAGCAGGAGCTGCTGTTTTAAATCTTAACTGATTTGATTTGATTCTGTGATATTTCTTTTGGATATATCTCAGTAAATTTTGCAGGTCAAGAATATTTAATTTGGAACATGTTTTATATCTCCAACTGTACATTAGTTACTGAACTAGGCTTTGAGACAATTTAGAAAACTTTGTATTGTTTGTTCCAAGATTTAAGGAGATTTTGCTACACAATTGGTGCATCACTTAGCTTATGGAACAAGAAACTTATGGACCCAGAATTCGAAGCCCATGGACAGAGGTGTATTTAAAGAGAAGACCTAACCTAGTGTAATTAGCACTTTCAACAATTGTAAAATTAAGGGAAGGAAAAATAGTCTTAGGTTTTGAGAGTCTCTTGTGTATTGTATGATGTAAGTCACCCTTGTATCTTTTGATACTTGTGGTCGACATTATGTTCTCACTCAAAAGCCTTTAGGAAATTAGTTGAGTATTGTTCTTGGATGAAACTTTTAAGTAAATCCAAGTATTGTTCTTAGTCAAGAGTCTTGGCTAAGTAATGTAATTGAAGTATGATCTTCTTGTTGAGTTATTCTTGATACAATCACTAGGATTGGGACTGTTAGATATCACTGAGGTGATTTAGGAAGTGAGACGGTGATTTCTAATATTTAGGAGGTTCCTGAGTAGAAGTTGCATTGGGTAGGGATTAGGCGAGAAGTTGTAAACTGAGATTGTTTAGGCTTTGAACTAATATTGCTAATAGTGGACTTCTTTCCTGGCTTGGTAGCCCCCAGAGTAGGTGATGTTGCACCGAATTGGGTTAACAACTTTATGTGTTATTTATCATTCTGCAGTTTAAGTTTCAGTATCTTCTATAACTTAACATATCAGTTCAGTCTGTTAACAAATGTTGTAACATATGTAGTGACATTAGTCTGATGTTGGAACATCAATATTAACATGTGTCGCCTATACCATAATTTCAATTGGTATCAGAGCAGGTACTCTGGTCTATTGGGTGAGCTTCAGGGAGTATTTTTTCGGTACTAATATTCTTTTTGGAAGACTGGAG